CACTAGGAAGCGATGGTTTTTTAGAGCCATGACGGAGGGGTGACTATCGCATCGGTTCTGGAGCTTATCACCGTACAAACTGCGTTTGTATTTGTTATGGGTTTTCTGTTAGAGGATGTGGCCACAAATCAGAGGTTGGCGAGGAAAGGATTACTCTAACCTCTTTGATTAGAGAAAGTTAAGGGTGTGCCTGCCTTGGCGCTCGCTCAAGAGGTCTCCCCGTGAGTTGATGCTCCTGGGGTGCCACCATGGGACCTTCATGGGGCAGCAGGAGAACTCATCCCCAACCTGGGCAGGTGGGAAGCTGCTGAGAGGGTGCCAAAGTTGATGGTAACGTGGCCCGTCCCGCCCATTCCTGGTGGGCCTCCAAGCCTGGGGCAAATCACCCCCAGCGAGAGGCTTTTGTGCAGGGATGGGGCTTGACTGGAGGATGTTGCATGAGATACCACCAGCGCTCACTTTTCAGAGAAGGCGATCCTGAACCTGGAGGTAACAGGGGCACCGTCATGAGTGCAAGGGGGCCTCTCCTTAGAGGGGGTGCCAGGGCCCCGTCAGCCGTGGGAGGGGGAACGATCCATGGCCTTAGCCCTCACAAAGTGTGGGCTTGGGCTCGCTGAGGTCACAGAGGCCGGTGACTTCTTTCAATCACTTTTCAGTGGGGTTCGGGCCAGGCCCCATCAGGGGTGTGTGCCTTGGTGAAAGGGAGCTGGGCCCGCCTGGAGCAGCTACGGGGGCAGAGGGGATGGCTGGGGGGATGAGCAGGGCCAAGAAGAGAAGCGAAGTGTCGTCTTTGTCACTTCACTGAAAGGTATTTTAGGCCTTCGACTGCAGCAAACCCTGGCTGTTTCTCTGTTTCATTCTTAGGTGGAGCGAGGCTTGGCCGGGCAGGTAGGAGCTATAACCCCGCGCAGATTTCCATTTCCCTGCCGGCAGCACGGGCTCGCGGCGCCTTTATCTGCACAGGAAGGCTGAGCCGGCACCTCTGAGGTCTCCGCCTTGAGCTCGTAGAAACACAGATACCGAAAAACCCATCGCTTAAATAGTCACGGCCTCCCTTCGCCTTCAGATAACTCCTGCGCTGATGTATGCTGATGAGAGAGTTAATGCAAGACGAGAGGCAGCGGGGAGAGATAGGCGCGGGCAGGAAAGCACACCTGCAGGCGCCCGCTCAGGGCTCTCTCTCGGGGCTGACTTTATCGGGAGGGCCAGGGCAGGCTCGCAGCTGGGCCGGCAGGAACCGGGAGATGCAGAGGTGGTCTCTATGGTTAGCGTAGAAACCTGTTTGGGGGAGAGCTTCCTGAAACTTTCTTCTTCGCTGTTTGCCAGGGCTTCTCCGGCAGATGTGTGCGCAGAGAGCATCTCGGAGCTGTAGCCGTGAGTAGTCATTTAATCGAGTAGTAAAAGTTGTTTCCCCGCGAAATGAAATTTCCTTGGGCGTGAGTCAGGCGAGCCTGTAAACGCGGATCCCTGCAGTCTGACAAATAGGGGCTCTTTTAACAAAAAAAATTTAAAATCAGCAAGTGTCCTGATACTCAAATGGATTGGAAAATTGCCTTGTAGAAACATCATGTATCAAGAGGGATTGTAAAAAAAAAAAAACCAGCCACCTGATCACAAATAATTTATGGAAAAACAATAGCAGAACAAATACATTTTACAGCCCTTAACAATGAGCTGTATAACCACTGCCAGCTTGCAAACACGGCTGAAGGCAGAATTTGGACCTCTATGGTCTAGCTTCACTATCTTACCCGCATCAGTCACTGAGAGCAAAAAAAAGTCACAAACCCGTTCACGCCGGTACCACGGTCTTCAGTGAAAACTGCTGAGACATCGAAGTCAAGTTCAAAGAAAAGAGGCAGAGAAGGCAAACAAATGCATTTGAGTGCCTTTGGTCAGGAAACACAGCTTCTGTTTGAATTAAGACATTAGCCGGCTGGTGGGAAGAGGTGACCAGTGTCTTTCCTTGACCGCCCAGGCAAAATGCCACCATCTGAGCAACATCTGGGCTATCAACTCAATCCACCCATACTAGGGAAACAAGGAGGCAAGCAAGATGCAGACCAGTGCTTCAGAACTGTTCTTTCCTGAACTGTAACATTTTTACATGTTCTTTTCCATTTTTTTAAAAAATTTTTTTTTTAAATACATTTTAAATAGTTTTCTAGGAACAAGGGCTTTTTCTGTCCTTTGCCACCGCCTCTGTCTCAAATCAGGGCGGAGGAAGAAACACAATTGCATATGGCAGGAGCAAGAGCAGGTGATGTTTATGGTGCCCCAATCGCAACCCTACAGAAACACCCTTTGCTTATGTGCCTGATGGCGTGGGCTTGGGGGAGAGCTGGTGGCCATTGACTTAGTCGGCCTGTATGAGGATCAAGATCAAAAATACTGAGAAAAAAAAACCCAAACCTTTTCTTCTGCCTTTGTTGAAGGATCACTCTGTGCTACAGAATGTTCAATGTTGCGCTCTGTGCTTTACCTTCAGCAGACTTGTTAGTTTGGCTTCTAACTATAAAGTCTGGCCTTTGCATTCAAGCTGTAATGCATTTTTGGTTTTTTTTTTTCCCAAACCAGTCCAAGCTCTGGCACTTTTTCAGTTTAGGCTTATAGCTGTCACATAGGTCAGACCTGTGGGAGCTGAACCCCTGTGACTCTGCATGGAGAGCCGGAGAATTACAGGGTCTAGCTGGGAAACACCTCATGCTCTGGTATTTTCCTTTATTTTTGCCCTGGCTCCTTTGCCTCTTCATTTTTAATTAGTGGCACATGCTGAAATGATAATTTAAATTCTTTTCAGAAATCAAAAGAATTCCCACTGACAACATTATTAAGTTATAATTACAGTGAAGAAAAAAGGTTAATAGGAATTTGAGCCAAATATCTACTCTCGATTAAATGAGAACTTGACTGAACCTGTTTTCCCTTCATTTTGGTAGGTTACTCTGGGTTTAAATGGGTCCAGGATGGCTATACACCTGTGCAAAGACCAAACAGCCATCGTCAAGACTATTTACGTGGACCTGTCTCAGGATAGCTCTCACCTGACCGATGCTCAAGACGGAATTGAACAAGCAGGTAGGACTTCTCTTGGACCGCTGAAAGAAAGATGTGTATTTCAGATGGTAAGCGGAACGTGGTCACATGGGGATTTTTGTGCGAGCAAGACATGTAGGAGGTGGCACTTTGTTGCAAAGGAAACTTAGTGGGTATTGGTGGGGGAAAAAATAACCAGGTTCCTGGGCTACAGCATTCAGACAAAGCCGCTTCCTTCGCTCATGCTGAGCACCAGATGCATGCAGAAACATATGCAAAGCAGCCCTCATCTACTGAGCGTTCCACATTTTCAATGAAATGAGGGGAAAAAGAAACATTTTCCTCTGTATTAGCTCTAAGGGTGTCCATCAACAAGACAATTATTGTGATGGTTTCGCATATTAAAAATGGGGTTTTGGCAGCTGAAGGTGTAGGGGCAGAAAAAAAACCCCAATCCTTATGCTGGGCACCTGCAGGTTCAGCCTCCCTGTTTCCCAGCACTGCTCCGCACTGGGCACTAGATAATGATCAGTTTAAACTCAGCCACACTCGGTGCAGTTACAGCTGGAGCTCTACAAGGCAAGAGCTTTGCCTCAAAGACCTGTTGTAAGCTTAGTGGTTCTTTTTCCCTTTTTTTTTTTTTCCTTTTAAGCTGTAACGTGTTATTTAAGCTGTGGCATGCCTCAAAGGCAGACCTTTCCCTCTTCCCAAGTTGCACACATCCAGTCCTGCAGACCTCCCTCGCATCTTGCACAAGCGGTTTTTACGGTGGGGGCCCGCAGCCTTTGCACAGGCAAGTGCTCCCGCAGACTTCCCCTTCTCTGTAATCCATACCCAGTGCCGGGGTCCGGCCTGTGGCAATTGCTCCAAAACTACCTCGGGGCTGGCTCTCCCCTGACCCCCCAACGTTTGGTGAGAGCCTGAACCGCATTTGGGGGGCAGATGGGAAGCACAGGCAAAACTTGGGGAGTGGGCTGCTGCAAGCACCAGTCCCTTCTCACCCTGAAAGCCAAAAGCACATGAGAAGGGACCCTGCAGAGGGTGAAAAAGGCCTTTTGCTCCTCCTTTTCTGTGTACTGCCTGCTGTGAGGGCCAGCATGTGGCTTCAGCTGGGAGGACTAGGCAGGCTGCTGGGGAAGGAGTAAGAAGGACTGGAAGATGCCTCTGGGGGCTCTCAGCCCACACCCGGCTATGCACGCTGGGAAACAGGGATTACTTCCTTCACGGAGCTGAATTCTGCTCTCAAGAGTGTCAGTCTGACTTTGAAGCGCTTGCATCAACTTAAATTTCAGCAAACAATTTCTTTTCAAGCTACTAAATAAAATGCAGTTTCCTTCCAGGCAGGTTGCATCTCTTTTTCTCTTTTTTTTTTTGCTTTGTGGGTGATTGATTGCTTTTACTCTCTAGCATTCCTGGGGCTGAACTTCCTCTGTTCTACAGTATAGGAACTCCAGAATATTTTGCTCTTACCCAGTTGGCTCCTGAGCTGATGGTCTTAGATGAAAAAAGAAATTATCCAGTATTTTGGGAGAACAGCAGTTTTGCACAAAGGTGCAGTAGGCCTCCCATTGGCTGAAGCTGACCTGGATTTTGGTTTTACAAGAGATGTGCCTCGAGTCCACAACATCCTAAATGCTCACTCTTCTGTGCTGTGCTCCTTCCACTCAACCATCAATGAGAACTGAGGATGTTGAGGCTACTACCTATGGCACGCAAAACTATTCCTTACTTATCTAAGCATGCTGGAAAAAAAACCTTCTCGGCTTGATTGTTGCCTATAACAACACCGCCCAAACACTAAAGACAAACAAGATTAGGAGACCATGCAGATTTAAGTAAAAAAGAACACACTTTATTTATCTACAAGGCAGTACATTGTCGTATAAAAAATTAAGTGCAGCTGAAGCTGCACCAAATGCTATTAAGGCAGCAAAGTCAGAGGCTGTTATAAAAAAACCCAAACAATAAAAAAATAAAATAAAATCAGTGTTTTGCCATATCGATAAAGATTTGGTATGGCAGTACAAAGAACCATATATTCCTAAGAACCTGATTCAGTACACAAGACCCAAGTCAGGGAACAATTAGCTAGACATGGAACAAAACAGACAACATGAACAAGACAGTGTTCTCCCAAACATATGAAGGTGCAATGCATGCTGTTACAAACCAATGAGAAACAAAACAACACATCCAGACAAAAAAAAAAAATCTCCCAGGAACAGTGTTCAAAAATATTGCTTATAAAAAAAAAGGGGGAAAAATATAAATGATGTAAAAAAAATTAAAATAAAAAAGTCTGAAATGCTAGTGCATAGTCAATTAGCTAACATCAACATTTGTTTCCTTTCCATATAAAGCTCTACTGCTCCTCTTACACTAGCAGCATGTCTACACGCTAAGGTCTGTAGCAGCAAAACACAGTATTCATTTGGCATTTACAAAATTAAATTACTGAATAAAAATATAATTTTTCTCATAAATCTATGTTTCATACAGTAATATTTTTTAAAGCAAGCTAATTCCCCCCCCAAACAGAAACACACAACGTATAATGGTCTAGAACCCATAACAGAATGAAAGAGTATTTCAAGAGGCATGGATGTTTGAGCATTCACGATCTTGATCAGTTTTCCCCCTTTTGCACAGACTAGCGTTTGTAGTAATGCTTTTCACTTCAGTATTTTACACCAATGCATTTTGTTCAGTGATTTAAAATATATGTTTGAGTACCTGCTCTTTTATTATTAAAAAAAAAAAAAAAAGTAAAAAAAGAAACAAACAAAACCCCACCCCTGGCTAGCACATCACTGAAATAACAATACTGGTGTATTAGGTCTGCTTGATCTCAAAAAGGACAAAAAATTACCTTTATCGTAAGTCTGCACTGAAGATCATTAATTACTGATTCAAACTTAATACCTAATAATTTAGGCAAGTATCATTTATTCAAAAAAAAAAAAAATCCTCTTAAGTTGGGTGAAATCCAACAAGAATATATATGCTGAGTGACTAAATGCACTTTGTGCTGCTCCCAACTGTTGTACCACAACAAAGATAGGCTCTTCTCCCATTCATGAAAAGTTTTCATGCAGAGAAACAGGAATTTCCCAGCGGAGGTGAAGTGTTCTCAAAACCATAATGCTTCTCTGTCCGTCGACCCTTTCACATCACCAGAGTCCGGGTGGGGAAGGCGGCCATGTACTTGCGCGCCTGATCCGTCAGGGCCATCTGATCCTCGATCTTCCCGCAGGACGCTGACTCCCAGGCGTTGTTCAGATGCTAAATTAGAAGGAGGCAGAGAGATTTGGGGTGAACGCCGTGGGATTTATTGCTAGCCCCAGCCAAAGCTGGGCCCGCTCGCGATTAAGCATTGCAGGAACACGCGGCAGGATGCCATCCCATCTCCAGAGAAATTGAGATCTCAACACAACAGGCAAAAAAATATCCCCCCCCAACTTCTCGGTTAGCGACCGGAGGGATGGGCAGGCCAGATGACCTGCAGAGGGGCACACCGCAAGAGCCAGGATCCAAACCCCCTCACTGCTCTCTCAAACAGCATCTCCTCTACGAGGCCGCATCTATAGCCTTGCCTTTTATCTCTCCCTTCCGTGAAAGGTCTAAAAAGAGAATTTATTTGCAGGTGGACTTTACAGTCAACAGGGCGCAGCCAGGTTAAAGCCCACAGCTAAGCCTGTTCAGTGCTATCACCACGCACAAATTCCTGCCGAACCCTTACTCTAGAAATACAGCTGCTCTGCCCCTGCGTTCCCTAAACGAACCTGACGGTCTCGGCAGCCTGACCACAGGTAACAAAAAGTCCCGCGCTCAAAGCTGCTTTCACCTGTGCACAGCGCTTAGCACGTGCCCATTAGCAGAGCTCCTCCGGCAAAGGAGAAGGGCGGGGGGGTGGGGCAACTCTCAGCAGAAACAGCATTTTAATTATTGTGTAAGCCATTTCACTTCTTGTGGTATTTATGGAGGTTACAGACACCATTTAGTATAATGTTAAAGTGAGATAAACATATCTGCAGAGGGCTGTGCGCGCTGTATTTATTTACTCACTACACATGTGAGATGTTTCTCATTGCCTTGAGCTATAAACAGTAATGAAATTTCAAAGCTCCTGGAATTTACCAGTATACACACACTTTTACACATACTTTTTTCCTTTTTTTTTTTTTTGCTATTGAACTCTCTCACTTACTTGGTGCGTCTGCTTTCCCACGTTTTGATACTCACTAAGCCCTGAATAAAAACTCTATTATTTTATGGAGCTAGTTGCACGAACACCCTACATTCCAAAAGTGCACATGACTGCGCTTAACGGAAAGCTGCCTGCCAGCAAGGAGATTCCAGTACTGTTGAAGATGGAGATGGTCTATGCCCGAGATCCACCAACAAAGACAAGTCAGGAGAAACCCTTCTCTATTTTCCTGTGCTTTCAAAAAGGATCACCTTTGCAGTTCAAGACCTACGTTGCTCAACGAGATGGCCAAAGCCTTCCCAACGCCTAGGACACGGGGAGAAGCATAATTTCATGGCCTGCAAACCGCCTGCTAAGAGCAGAACCGACCCAGCATGCCCATGGCTCTTTGTGCTGCTCCTTCTAGTTGCTAACTGTGCGAGAGGATCCTTGAATTATTCTCTGGCCTGAATGTTTGGAGAATGTTCTTCTGACTGTAAACAGTGTTATCTGAGACATATGGATAGTAAAAGGCTGGGCAACATGACATACAGATAATTTCTCATAACACGCCCTAATCAGGGCACTGGTACAAACACAGGGACCGAGTTTCCCTGCCTCGGAGGGTGTATAGTCTAAAAGGGACAAACCCAATGACTAAGTAAGCAGTGCGGCCAAGATGAGGGCAAGCAAATTACTCCTCTGTAAACTTCTGCTGGGCTTCCCAAGACACGGCTTCCTCTTCTCCGTAGACAAGTTCCAAATGTTGCCTCTGCTCCTGGTACCTTTTTGCAGGCAAAACTCCTGCTGAGCTTCAGCGGGAGTTCCCCGTGTGAAGGAGAACCAGGTCAGGCCTCAAATCATTAAGTTTCTGCAGCTTTTTGCGGGAAAGCCGCATCTGTGAACAAACATGCCATGCACCTCTTTTCTGGAGAGCTTCAGCCTGGGCTGGCTGTGGCTCAGCCTCAGGCACACGCCGCAGCCAAAAAGCAGGTGTGACATACTTTCTGCATGCCGCAGACATGCATGCGACAGGCCACAGCTTCTTTTATGTCTTGGTTAAACAGCTTCCAGGGTAACTTTTTCAAAGGCACCTACATCAGCTGGGAACTTACGGCCTCCTGTTGATCCTCAGCGGTACTCAGGCACCTGCAAGTATTTTACCCTATTCTTTTAAAGTTATTTGCACCAGGGACCAAATTAATGCCTGATACAACACCGTCAGACTTACTTAAAATTCAGATTTGGTCTGTACACCTCAAAAGCAGTTGGTAGGTCCAGAATATCCATCATTTCAAAGGACAAAAATCTCTGTCCAACCGGTATTTTTGCAGTGATCTCCCAAAGCTCAAACGCACTGCTCTAGAAAAGTGAGATCAGCAGGCCCCTAAACAACTGAAAACATGTAAGGAAAAGTCCATCTGTCACAGTACGTCAATTTTTTAAAAACAGCAGGAACTTCAGGCAAGGAGTGCCCCGATTTCATAAATTAGGCTTGATTGTGAGTATCTACACTGAGCTCTTTGTATTACCAGCCATGTGCTTAGAGAAGAAAAAATAATACATCTGTATCCTGATATCTCCAACATCTCAGCAGGCTGCTACATGTCACTCATTCCACCGAAAGCCTGGTCTTCGTTTAACCTGATGTCAGTGCAGCAGCAGCCGCTCAGGCAGGCAGTAACCCTCTGCCCCCGCTCCGGGCTCAGCCGCCCTGGGCAGCGGGCGCAGCCGGCGGCAGGAGGGTCCGCTAGACCCCTGCCTCGAGCCTGCTTGAAACAACTTACTCCAGTTTTGCCGCAGAGACAGCGCAGGAGAGCCTCCCCACAGGGTTCTGACCCCTTGTAGTATTTCCCCAGAAAAACATTATGCTGGTTTTTTTTTCCCTCTTAGGACACATGTATAAAGAGAGACTAACTCTGCAGTCTTGCTGGTGCCGGCGAGAGCTTTGCTCCAGTAAAGAAGCAGAATTTGACCCAAAGTAGTATATTTACTGAAGTAGTATATTTACTAAAGTAGTATACTTACTAAGACAACTTTCAATTCTATCCTGGGGAACTTGGATCACATCTCAATTATTTTTAATAAACATTTTCTGTCTGAAGCCTTGGCTCTTGGCAGCCAACACAAAACAAAGCACAATGCCTTTGCCTTGCCAGCCCTGCAGCGCAGCGCCGGAGGCACGTGTGAAAGTCATCCCGACGCGAGAAGTTTTACTTCCCTCCTTGGTGGGGAGCGCTGGGTCCCAGGACCCAGGCAGAGCGCCTTGCCGCCTCCGGGCACGCACAGCTACGGATGGGAGCCCTTAGGAAAAAAGGGAAAGCACAACGCCTCCTTCCACGCCAGCACCGCAGCGAGTAGCGAGAGGGCTCTGTCACAGGAAAGCAGCAGCGCCCCGCAGAAAGCAGCACTTAGCAAACCAGTATCAAAAGAGAAGAGACCTGGGCAGAAAGCTAGAGGCACGCAGGGGAACGGCACAGAAAGCAAAGTCAAACGGCTCCTTTTGCCCGTTGCATCTCCCCCATCACACTTAAAGGCCCAACTCTGCAAATCAACAGATGGGGACACAAAAGCTTCATAATTAGAAGCCAAAAGGCCTGACCCAAAACCCACCGAAATTGATGGGCATGTTTTCATTGAGTCAGTGGGTTCATCCCACTTAAATTCAGCCACCAAAGAGTGAGGTGTGCATTTTGGCACCTAAATCCCTAGCCAGTGGGGAAAGAAAGGGATTTCTGCAATACAATTCATTCCATGTATTTTTTTTTTTAATTGCCTCAAAGAGTGGGAGACTACTCTTAGTTCTGCTGTCAAGTAAAAGAATTTAAACCTTTTCAGCCAGTACTTCTAGCTGTATTTTTCTCTTCCACTCGCAGCACTTTTCTCTCTTTAAGTTAAACCAGGGAGTGGCGGGGAGAAGAAGGTATACCACTATGAGTTCCCACAGGATGAAACTGCAGACCTGTGGTACAATTCCAGCTATGTCACGCTCCCTGGCTCATTTTTTTTTAACCTCAGTAATCCTACCAGCACATCCTTCTCCTGGCAGCAAAACTACCTCGCTTACCCTGCAACGTGCCTTCAGCTGCCCTCAGGCAGATGAGAACTGTAAACAGTCAAAGCTGTAACTGGGATATCCAGTTAAAGCACTTTAAATAAAAACTTGGACCATCTAGAGAAAACAGACCAGAGGAAGGAAAGAAAAGACTGCAGAGAGGTGCTTTTCTAATAGAATTAGTCCTTCTGCACTTGGAGCCTGGTCCGCCTTTTCACGTGCTGCCTGCATAGCTTAAGAAAGCTCCTGCATTACGACACCTTGCCTTGCTGCAGTCCTGCAGTACCGAGCTCCCAAACTGATGGAAGTGCAGTAAAAATCTTTGGGCAGAGAACTGGGTTAGAAGACAGATTTTAAATCTCCGCTCCGCTGGCAGGTATCTTCAGCAACTCCAGCAAAGTTACTGGTGTTACATACATTCCCATTAATCTAGCTAAGTTGTGCTAGCATTTAAAACCAAAAAAAAAAAAGCCAAAATGTTTAAAATATTTAGAAGGCTCAGACTAACAGAAGTTATCAAGTTTCTCTACTGCAAAAAGCTGCGTTTCTTGCCAGTTTTCCCTTAGATTACATGGTATAGATAATTCGCAGAACATGCCGCTGAAAAGAAGGCTTGCGACAGAAATGCAGCGCTCCTTCCGAAACTGCAGAACAATCAATGCCCTAAACAAAGCCATTTCCTAGCAGAATATGATATGTTATCATGTAGAATAATATGACCTTCTATTCTGTAAGGATGCAGAACCAAGAGAAGCCCTTGTACTTATCAAGACCAAACAGTAAAGACTAATTAAAAGCTCAAGTGACCATAAATGAACTCTACTTCATTTGCTAAAGCAGAGCACTATATCTGCTCATGTTGCCAGTTCTCCTCTGGGGCATGGGACAGCCGTCTCCTAAACTCTGGGGCTTTCCCAGTTGCTCAGAAATACAGGTTGCTAAATGTGAGAGAGTAAGATGACCCAACTTTTCAGCTTTTATTGTAAGCCTGATACCAGAGCTAGAAAGAGCTATTTGGTGGCACTTTTAAGAGCTTAACCCTGAAGCCCTTACTCAGACAAAACTCCTGTTTGAGAAGTGTGTGCTTTCCAAGTAAGATTAATGGAAAAGATAGGGAAATGGGCTAAGCACCTGCAACTCACATTAGGATATTCCGTCCCTTTCCAGTTTTGTCCTTAAGTAATTTTTTTTTATTCATGGATCAGCACACATTGCTGCAAATGGCTGATGGTTAAGCTGTCACTTGTCTTTCTGAGAGACCATCGCCCGCTTGGGGCAGCTGTAACTCCTGCTCTGTTTGCAACTCAAATCCTGCTGCCCTTGGAGGAAAACATGGGGTGACTGGCCTGTAACTTCAAACCTCCTTTTCCTCCCTCACAGCTCCTGTGCACATCGGCCACCGGTGAGAGAAGGGACAACACAACTGAGGGGGCTACCTTGCCTTGCTGTGCAAGCCTTAAACCTCCCGGGGCTTGAGCACAAGCGTGCTTCCCCCTCTCCCTCGATTAAACAAAGAAGACTATGAGACTTCGGGATCTTCTTGCCCCCCAAAAAAGCCGTGGAGAAAAACCAGAGAAAGGCTGCTGCTGCAGGAGAGGACGCTGCCTTGCCTATACATTTTGACTGACAATCAGCTAAAAATGAAATTCCATGTTTCACTTTTTAAACAGAGAAAATTAAGGTTAATGACAGCTCACGCTCTTGAAAAGGTTAACCAAGTAACTGTTTTAAAATCCTTTAAACTTAGTCTTTAAAGAAAATGGTTACATAAACCACTGAAAGTCAGGAAATTCGAGCTCAAACGTGTCAGTCTGTGGTTAAAAAATGGAAAGTGACAGGAGCTAGGGGTTGAAGAACATTCTCTTTAGCTTGCAGGGCTTCTACCTTGTGTTGTTTCCTTTGTTACTGGGGGAAGAAGATATCAAAGCACCGCTATTTTCTTAAAAGGTTCCATTTCATGGTGTCTTTTGATAGCCTGCAGGGTTAGGTGGATGGTCTATGATTTAGCCTACTTTTCTATCTAAAATGTCTATGTTAGGATAAGTCTGTATTATGTACTGCTACTGCTATGGAACATAATGTGAAATAAAACATTACTTTCACACAGGAAGGGCCAGAAACACAGTTTTCACATAACCTCTTACGAGGCACTGTTCAAGCAAATGCTCAGTACAGATCATCAGTTTGCCTCAGTAAGAGCTTCGTATGTTATCCCCAAATCTTAACCCTTGGAAAAGTTCCTAGTGAGGCCAAAAGTCCCTATGGTGAAACTAAGTATTGCCTGAGTGACAAAAACAAAGGACGCAAAAGTATAGGTCTTAACTAATGCCACCAATATAAAGCAGAAGTATCTGGGATCCATGCAATGGAGTGTAAGAGCAATTCCACCCCGAGGCAACACATGGTTTTGGTGAGACATCTCCTATTCCTGCCAGTGAGAGAATACCCAACACACAACCGTGAGACTTGCCACGCAGGGTGAAAAAAGCTGTCTGAATCTTCATACCTTACCAGAAAGATCCTACATACAGCTGCCTTTACATCCAGTGTTTTACGGAGACCTAACCAGGGGACCAAATGAGGATGAAGCCCAAACTCATCTCGGGTCTATGAGGGCTCTTTCTCCCCATTGCTCTCGTTCAACACTGATACCACCACATTCCCAGTGCAGTTATATGCAGCTACCTGACCTCACATGCCAAACGATGCGACATGCTGTTCCTCCTAAGTGATGGCGAATCATCACACTATCTGATACGGTCAGCAACTACTATTTACTAAATTGCACATGATCAGTCGTGTGTCCAAAATGCAGTGAAAAATATCCTTAGAGGTTGCTTTGAACATTTGTTACTCTTGCCTTCTTTGGAATTTAACAGCAAAACAATAAGTAATCAGGCACTTTGGTGAGCTTATTGCTAGCCAAATACCTTTTTCTTTATGCAAATACAGTGCAATGAAAAATACTGCGGGCTGATAAACATGCTACCTCCTTCTTACGTAAGTTCAAATTTAAAAGAAATTACAATTTTAAGAACCAAGCATATCAAAAGCAAGAGTAAGTTTAACGCTCTCTTTCTTTCCCTCTTCCCTTGTTTCCATGCACGTATCCCAAGGTGCAGAGAGTGCTGTAATTCTTACTTGGACTAAAGTCAATTTGCCTAAGTAAGAACAGTTGGATCAGGCCCAAAATATTAACAGCAGCAATGTAAACATATGCAGACACAATTAAATTTCACCCAGATGAGGTCCCTCCTGTTTAACATCTACCTGCATGGAATCAGTGGATTTAGTCCTGTGGTGGGGTGTGCGTCAGTGTGTGTGTACACGTATGTGGGCGAGACACCAAATTATAGACTAGAAAGTGTAGAACAAGAACATGCTAAAAACCGATCACGTACCAAATGCTACCAGTCAAAATCAAGCACCAGCGCTAACATTTTCAATTGCTTTGCACCCTTCAGACGCGCTGTGGCCTCATCACAGACGCCTGGCTCCCCTGGGACGGAGGGGGAGCAGCGTTAGGGCAGAGCAGCAGCAGTTTCTGGCATGAAGGAGAGCCAGACCGCCTGCCCTTTCTGAGCCGTGCGGGGCCAAATTCCAGTGAGGCCAGGCAAGTCTTACCAGGGATGAAGCAGATTCTCCCTTTTAACCGTGACACTAAGTCCAATTTGGAGAGTGCAGCCATCAGCAGACAATACCGCATTGCTATAAAAAGTGTGTATTCCATTCTGAAACAGCTGTCTGTGCCACCACCACAGAAACCTCCGGCCCTATTTTTCATTCAGGATTGCAGTTCAGCTGAAACACTCGATGTTTCTTCATCAGCAGAGAATAATTTTACCTTCATACAGGTACACCAAGAAGCTGTGTACTAAGTACTCATTTTGGGGCTTTTTACAATTGCTTTTTCTTTCAGTTCAAGCCATTTTAAACACTGAGATGTGTTGGGAAATCATTTTGGACTTAGTTCCTACTTAAGGAAAATTCATCTTTATCCAAACAATGAGAATAGCTGACTTTTAACACGCAAAATTAGAGGCTTTTGCTGAGCAATGGCTGAAGAATGGGATCCAGAATGGCCCACAAATTGACTCATGTAAACTTCCTGAACAAAATCAGCATGAGTGAGGAGAGAAGGTTAAACAAGACCTTTCAATTACAGCAGCTTGTAAAGGAATTATTTTTAGATAGCAGGAAACATAACACTGTTATGCCTAAGATCAAAAGATCCTATTTTACAGGCACCTCAGATGCTTCGTTTTTACTACAGGCAGAGAGCAGGCCACTACCACCAACAGGACAAGCCACAACGTACTCTGTTTAGCTACCTGAAAGTGTTGCCCTAAACCCATGGAGGAGCCCAGAGTTTGGCTGGGGGGCATGGCCAGGCGTCGGGGCGCTGGCAGGGCAGCGGGACCAGCAGCATCCTCCCACGTGCTGGCTGGGGAGCTCCAGCAACGCCCTGCAAAGCTGGAGCCCTGGGCTCCTTTGCCATGAGATGGTCTGAATTCAGTCCCTAAATGACTGCCCTAGCCCAGGGGCAGTGGATCTTCAAACCCTCCTCTCAGCCGTCTACCACGGTGCAGCTAAGAAACACGGCTGATAAGAAAAGAGCAAATACGTAATAGGGAGCGCGAGTCCTTGGCCCCTGCAAGCACCCCCATGCAGAGGGGAGAGACAGTCCCTGCTCTCCAGAGCTGCTTTTCATTAAATGATTCTGCAGTGCAAAATACAAACCTACTCTACAGCAAACTGTGCCAAATGGGGACATGTGTGAAATTTTAATATCTCACTTTATAAAGGCCAGCTAAAGATGCTTAAACAAACCCATGTTTTGTTCATTCCTTTCCACTGTAAATAACCCCTAATGTAAATTCTGGGGAGGAGGGAGGAAGGAAAGGATTAGCCATGTGGACTATCTGTCTGAATGTCAGTCACTAGGGACATACAATTCCCTTTCTGACAGTGACTGGTCCTGGGCAATGAGACACTTTCCCTCAATTCGCCCGTGTGGAGAAGGGATACAGAATCACTTATTTGTCTACCTCAAATATACGGGAAGGAAGGATAACTGATCATTATCTACACTGCGTTTAGTTCTCTTAATGACTTCTGTCCGCAAGAGTTGACAAAGAGTCTGTTAATGACTTTGGTGGGCTTTGGGTTGGCCCTATGTAACAGCTATATTTCGAAGCACAGCAAATGTGTATGTTTGTTAACACTCGGAAAAAGCTTAAATGCATAAAACCCAGCCTCGCATCTGGCTTACTTTAAAACAGTCACACATTTAATTCAGTTCAGAGATCCCAAGACGTACAACTGGCCATACGCGTTATGAGGCCACTTCAGACCACTGTTTACAACCCCATTTCTGGTGCGACCTCAGCTTGTGCTGAGGGAAAGGCCGTCCCGGTGCTTGTCTGGACAGGCAACACTGACTGCATCTGTGCCGGCCAGCCAGGCAGCACCAGAGCCCCTGCCCTCGCCCTGAGACCAGTGCCAAGTCCTGGCCACCACCACCCCACTCAACTCTCTTGCTCTCCAAAACAGCAGAGCCGCCTACAAGAAGTCCATAGCAAAAAGCCTCTGGCCTGCATTACTTCTCAATCCTACCAACCTAACACAGGAGCCAGTGGAGTTACAATGCCCCATGCATGGGGCTTTGCCCTGTTTAGCTTCCGGGTGCAGCCGTAGCCTCCGCGTCCCCACGCTTCACGGGTAAAGTGAGATCCTCAACCACGTTCATCTGAACGTTTCATTCTTCCACAATCAAAACTTCAAATCAGTCCGTGAGAAAGCAATATATATATATATGCATTTTTATATACAAAGGGTATTCTTATCAAAGAATAGTTACCTGCAGAGGACTAGCTAGTGGCCTGTTCCTAGGTACTGCAAATGTTTTGTGAAAACTACTGTCCTCTTCAGATACAGGCATCTTTAAAATGGAGCTGGTAAGAAGATTCTGAACAGGAAAAGAAAAAAAAAAAACCGTTGTCAGTAACTCAAGAGAACAACCTGGATTCGAACGTATTAAAACCAAACTCAGCCTGACTGCAGAGGGTGCAACATGGTTATGGCCGGAGCGCTCAGCCTGAGAGCAGACCTCAGCCTGGGGTCCCTGGGACTTGGCTTTGCAGGAGCATTGTCACATGCAAAGGTTTTTCATCCAGTGAAACTCCCAAGTGCAAGAATAACAGTAACACTGAATAGTCCTGGTGAAGCAATGGGAACTGTGCTCATGCAAGGTCTCCTTTGCACAAAACAGAACAGCCTCTCTCTTTCTTTTACCAGTTTTAACTCCACGACCTAGTCATTTCTATACACAGGTGCAAGCATCCTCCAAGTGCAGGCTCATTACAAAGGCTGTGGGCTGCACGATGACTGCAACTTCTGCTGCCTTCTATAGATGTTACAGTGATCTAATTAAGAGTGGGATTTTGCTTCTTATGCTTAATACAGGAAAACGATATGGAAATAATGAATAATGCCTACTTGTGAGGAAGGTCAGGCAGAATATTTTCTTTCTTTCTTGCATTTAAGAACTGGACAGGAATGTAAAACAGAAAAATCATTTGGTGGCATGAAAACTTGCACTTACTGGCACATCTTCCATAGTAGACGCATGTGTAAAGAGCTGAGTGTTCAGGTTTTCTCCTTCCCAGTGATTCAAGCAAAAAAAATTTCCAGCTTTATCTGTGGGAGACTCCACCTGAAAGCAGGAAAGGCACCATGATAAAAAATGGTACCTAACTGACCAGAAGGAGATTTATCTGTCAGTTGCTTAATAAACTGAATAAATATTCTTCACCGCTGTGCATAATGCATGTTTACAGTACTGTCTTTTACAGCACCCTTGCTCTTTCCAGAAGAAAAAAGTTCAAGGTTCTCAAAAAAATCCCCACCCAATAAAACTTTGAATACTTGCACTCAGCACTCTGTCACTATTCAGGAGTTTAATCCCCTAGAAAGGCTTGAGAATATATGTATTTTTAGAACTTTAGTGACAAAGTAATATAATGCAATGTCCTCAATTGTTCAGGTTTCTAAGTCACTCCATGGAGCTTGGTCCCCGTGGGGTTCTTCTATAGTTTTCACCAATATTAGAAAGATTCAATCCAAATTCCTGTCTAATTTTTTTTTCTTTTCTTTTTAAGTTTCAAACGAAAACTGCATTAGAACGGCCCAAGCAAACCCCTGCTGAAAACAGCAGAAAGACTTCTATGGAAATCAATGGGAGATGAATTAGGCATGCCTAGTATACTATATAGAACCGACACTAAGATCTTGGGGCTCACATGAAAGAAAAACAGACACAGCTATTTAACAGAAAAGGTATTGGTATAAGTTTCTCAGCAAAGAGTGCTGAATTAAATTGCCTCAAGTAAGTTTGAGATTTACCTCTTGTTTGATTTTCTTCAGCAAAGGGGGTCCACTTTCATGTAGCCCAGCCACTATTGCAGATTCCTCCGACTCCTGCTTGATAACGTCCTGCAGATCTTCTACAAGATGAGTCGGAGTTTGAGGCTGAAAGGAAGAAACGTTATATCCAAGTCCCAGAACATCCCTCTGCACTACTATCAAAGCAACTTTTATCATTGTTTCCTTCTTACCAGCATCTTCAAAGGACCATATTTGATTTCCTGAGCTGCAAGTGCGTTTTTGAATGGAGTGGGTGTTCTTGGAGAGCTCTCTAAAATCGACCTCTTGATTGCTGGAGTTCTGAAACTTTAAAAAGAGGGAGAAAAACTTTAAAGGAACATGCTTGGAAATATTACCTCTTTACAGAAATACGTGCGTTCAGGCAGTGGCTGCTGTAAGACTTGGCCAAGTATTTTCCTGCAATCCTATAATCCATTTTACTTTTATGGCAGACCATCTATTCAGCTGTGATAAAGTGGAATGGCTTTATTTAAAAAACTGTTGAGACTATATGTATGATCGTTCTGAATTAATAACCTACCTCCATAGTTACAAAGTGGAAGTTCTACTCCAAACTAAGAAAAATCTGAATGTGTTAGTAAACAACTCTGCAGGAAGCATACGGTGACCCAGCACTTTGGTTGCCTGCGAACCTGAAGAAACGACCCTTCATGAATCTGACAAGACAACGTGAGAACAGACTTACACATGATTTTCCTTCTGAGCTTTGAAAGTCTGGTCCCTGTGGAAGGGCGTGGTAACAGCCATCTTATGGCCACACACCGGCGTGGAAGTTAGCGCAGGGTTGTCCAGGTTCAGGTTTTCGTGATTGGATGAGGTGTTTAAGAACTGCAGGCAGGGAGAGGAAAAATCAACCTCCAGATTACAACGTTGACTTCTTAAGGTGATGTGATTGAACAAAAGAAAATTGTTTCTTTCTGACTGGCATAAGAGATTCTCCTGATCCTATGATGCAGGCGGGTGTACATGGGGTACCTGACCACATGGCAAAACAATACTCAAACAGTTTGGCTGGAGCACTCGGGAAGCCAAACAGAGCATTTCTAGAGAGGAAAGTTGTAAAGAAAATGACACTCTGTTCCAATGAGAAACACTCTCCGCCACTTTAAGAGCCACATCTTAAAAGCCTGATCTGGATTTTCTGCAAGTACATTTTAATTTTAATTAAGAGCAGTGTGCCCAAGTAAGAACTGGGTGAAACTGAGTAAGGGATGTTTCAGGAATAAACCCACAGGAAATGGGGCTGAATTCCACAATGATTTCTACAGGGAATCCAGGTGCTTTTAAGGCACTAAATAAAGTATTTATGACAGGAAAATAAATTTCCTATCATCTCTCTCAAAACAAAGTGCTCTGATTTTACAGCATAAAATGAAAACTGCCACCTGTGACGGGTGCGTGGAGTGTTTTGGAATGGAAATAGCTGACCGAAAAGGAGGCGGCAGTATTAGTTTGGAGAAAAATTGCTTTTGCATGAGTTCTACATAGAAACCTAAAATACTGTTTCCACTTCTAGTGTCTACAAATCTGTCAGCATAGTGGTATCTCTTATGCTGACAATGATTCACCATATTACCTTCTTAACTCAATTGAATCAGATTAAAACACACTTTATAAAAATATGGCATGTAAGAAAATACAGATTTCACTGGATAAATCATATACGATTAAAATACCTAATAGGTAATGGGAGATACAGTGGGAGATCATGCAAACTTTTACTATCCTTCATGAAATAATGCTTCTCTGACTTCAAGGACTAAAGCCAAACCAAGGCAAAACCAACACAGACAAACAAAAAAAAAAACCAAAACACTTTTAAATAGTGCTACAGCTGTGAAACAAAGCAACCATGGTCAGGAATTTGGAAGTGCACGCCAGGCCATTTTAACAGGCCATTTTCCTCCTCATTCCTATTCTGCTCCACCCCACGTGGCCCGGGTTGAGCATGGCGAGCTGTGATTTGAATTTTCTGGTTGTTGTCAGCTTGTCTCACAACCTGAATGCTATTTAAATGCAGTTTGGGGTTTTCTAGGTCAATGAATCATACTGTAAGTGGACAGAGATGGAAAGTATTACAAATGATCAGAAATGTTAAACTCTACTAGTTGAAGGAGTTAACAGCCAGAGCAAAGCAAGCAATCATATTCCCCTACAAAACCGATCCAAATAAAAAAAAACCAAAAAACCCAAGCCCCACAGACAAATTTAAAGTAAGAGAATCAACAGTTAGCTTGCTGATGATCTAAACTCAGCGGTGGAGACTAAGAGCAGTGAGAAGATTCAAACACGGAGTGAAATCAACAAGCGCAACGGTAATTAGTCATTTGTTCCAAAGGATTAGTTTCTAAATTGTTAAGGCTGGGTGACTTTTGAGAATTAGTAACATCTGTGCAGAAGTCTTGATCTACCTGCGAGGGAGAGAAGGGCAGGCTTTTGACAGGGGAGCGCTTAGGAGGAGTTGAGCTGCTGACGTCAGCTAGGACCAAGGTGCTACCGTGGCCACTGGCTAAGGGGCTGGAGTGCCCTCTCCTTTTGCGAAGAAGGACCCACGGAGCCATGCTGCCCTGTGAGGCAGATAAGGACTTTGGTGAGCCAGGAGAGCCCTGGTTCAACATGATTTTGCTCAAGTTTGTGATGGGGTGTCCTTGAGGTCTACAAGCACTGGCCCCGCTTTGCTGAAGCTGCACGACTTTGCCTGAGGGAGCTTTGCTAGCCGAAGTGTCTGTGTCTTCAAAGAATTCAAAACTGCTGAGATCACCCCATGATGAAGGATCCTGAAACAACGTGGGAGGCACGGAGCTATAAGACAGTGTACAGTGCCACCTCATGAAAATACAGCGCTAGGATATGCCCGTAACCACCACCACCACCACCAAAGTCTTTCCCAGTTCAATTCAGCTTGGCCCTGTTTATTTGAGTAGTAACATTGTGAACGCCTATTTGTGTTTCCAGTATATACCTTGATCACATCAAACTGTCTAACATCCTAGTAGTGTTGCTGGCAACCGAGTCCCTAAAGAAACAATGAGTCAAATGACATCCTGACTATCTACTTGCCCAGGGTTTTCTGCCTGGTATGAAAACAGTGCCTTTCGCTACCAAAAAAAAAGCGTGCCTTGGGCTCTATACCAAGACTGGTCTCCTTGTAACACGCACGCCTGCTTTGGAGGTGCTGAATGGGACGTGAGGCTGCATGAAGCAGACACCTCTGCTGCTGAAGGAGGGTGCCACCAACAACCGTATTTCAATGTGCCACTTCTGTTACCCGTAGTACCCCAGAGACCAGAATGAGAAAAGGCCCATGTCAACGTCAGTCAGCTACTCAGCACTTAAAATGCGCGTTTCCAGATCTTCACATACGCCACGGCAAGCTCCTTAAACTTTGAGAAGCAGCTACTGAAGCTACAACAAGAACTTTTAGAACATGATGCAGATACATGAGCAGCCATGTATAAACCTATGGCGTGTGTCACTTTGAGTAAAAATAAATATAATTTCATTGTTTAAAATTTTTCACGGTCACTCTGATTTCATTTTAAGGAGGCTTAATATCGAGAGATCGTTTCAAGCTCCTATTGTGCAGTTTGCTAAAAATCACACTCCCATACCAAGATGCAGCAGGAAAGGGAGACACCCACAAAAAGCATATGCGTCCACACTCGAAGGCTTCATTTACGAGCAGCCGCGTTTTGTTATGTCAGAAGCTAAGCTTCAGATCTTGTAGCAATTAGAAGTTACTCGGAGAAAAAAAAAAAAAAAACCAACACATTTAGGACTGTCCCAGTTCCTCTCCCCTCGCTCCTTGACCACGCACGAATCCACCTGAGGCGGCAAGTCTACTTACGGAGTCTATTAACTGGAGTGTTTCTGCAAATTCTAAGAGATTCTTAACATTATCCAGGATGTTGCTCTGGTGAACAATCATGCACCGTGCAGGGGATGCACTTTCCTCAGGTAAGCAACCGTGATCCACCGGTGGAGATGGAGTACAGTGGTGATGTTCCCCCAAACAGGAAACAGGTGCATTGTCACCACTGGTCCTGGTACTGTCAGCAATTGTGGTGCTGTGCCAGCCGGGGTAGTTTGATGTGTGGTTCTGTGTCTAAAGGAAGAAGGAAAAAAAAAAAAAAAAAAAGAAAAGGGGGGGGGAAGGCAGAAGGAACTTAGCAATGAAATTGCACAAGGTGTCAGATGCCACTGGAGGAAAGATAAAAGTAGTTGCATCATCATCTAAAAGCTTATGCCTATGAAACAATTGTCAAGATGTTTCCTTTCATCAGTGCAAGATCTCGTTTTAAGTAATATCGGCATTGTATTTGTTATCCCAAAGTTACCTCATAATTTACTTCCAGGATTATGAGCATATATCATTACTAACACAAAATCAACTCATAGCGTGTTACTCCAAAAGCTCAAAAAGTGTCTGCAAGTCATTTTCTGTGACAAGCGAGAAACGGCAGGATTTCCCTACTGAGCGTTCAGCACTGTAGAAGGCTAAAGGGTTTAAGAGTTAGAGTTGCTTTTGTTTGCTTATCTCCTTTTCTTCTGCTATCCCTGTCTAACGCTACAGCTTACACCAATGCAATGAAGAGGCTGTCAAATCAACGTGGTTAGGAAAGCAGAAGAACAAATTAACAGAAGTTTCTTTCCAGTGTGATCATGCAACAGAAGAAATTGCAAAACATTAACTAAAGTTAAAAAGTGGCCAAACTAACGTATCATGCATGCAGTTGTTTTACTATTAATTTAAATATTACCCAAAAAAAGAATCTGCTGGCTATCACCTATCTTCAAAAACGATTTGGGGATTCTTGGCTTCGGTGATGGTGTTAAGTAATTATGTAAGGGTTTTCACACATGAACATCCAATGGCATATACAACGAAGTGTGAGAATTCAGTAATAGCCAGCATTTGCTCCACACATGCAGTTATGAAGAATCTAACATTATTTGGAGAAGTAAAACAAACTGTCAAACATGCACCAAGTCTGAAGCTTACGAAGTGTATAAAACACAGCTGAAGGAAAGAATACAACAGAGAAGAAAAATCTAACGTACAGGCACTACATTTTCATCACATGAACCATTGCACACTTTCAGAAATGCAGATCCCATTGATTTAAGTTCTGTGGGATTTTTCATTTTCGTACAATCATCACGTTTCCAATATTACATCATGTTACAGAGCCCAGCCCTGCTCCCACTTTGTGAAGTAAAATACCTGCAAATCGTTTGCCGCTTTTTTTTTTTTCCAATAAAAGAATTTGCGAAGCAAAGACAGATTATATATGTGCTATGTTTCATCCTTTTAAAACGGAAATATAGAGCCTTGATTAGTATCGAAGGCAGAGGGGGAGTAAAAAGTTAAAAAGACAAGCACTGGGGTAACGCTGCTATCCCTCCATCCAAGCACACAGTGACAATCTTACTGGTAATGCCTGCTGCCCTTTCAGTTCATTCTCAGTCGACATTAGTAGCAACTCTAATTCCTTTATTCGTTTTTCTTTCTCAGGGTCTTCATCATTATAGTGTCTCTGAAATTAAGAGTTAAGGGAAAAGAAAAGATAAAGGTCTGATAGGATGTAGCAACTAAAATGCTTATGGCTTGCCGTCCTGTGGTTATAATAGCCAACTTAGACTCAAAGATGAAACAAACGTCAATTGTGTTTTCCACTACCAAAGTCCCTGCTGAATTTCAGAATAGACATTTGAAACAGAGAAGGTGAAAGCTATCACATCAGATGTCAACTACTGTGTTTTAAATCCACTTCAGAAGAAGCAATTATTAGCCATGTTAGAACTCCCCCACCTTCCCCGCTTTCTCTCTTCACCACACTTATTACATTAAAATGTTTCCTTAACGTACGATATCTGCATTTTCACTTATCAAACGTTTAACAAATTGACTCTGGAAATGAGGTTCAAGTTATCTACCTGAATAGCTGCAGCAGCTGGCTGAGGAACATTGACAATATTTACATGCAGTGCTACTGGATATGGGATCTGACCAGGGACCTAGGCCAAAAAGCAAAAGACACTAAAAGTTATTATTTCTATCAGAGCGTCTGCCTGCACTGTGAATTTGTGTTAAACATACTTTGGCTGTAGGTACTTAATATTTAATCTATGGAGACATAATAGCCAAAAAACCAACAGTGATTAGTGATTACAAGGAAAGTAAACAGTTTCTTAGGAATATGGTGGTGAGCATTACAGAGGAAGAAAGAAAACGCATATACGAAGTATCTACCCTTCCTGAATGAGAAAAGATGAATAATTTATAGATGCATTTGTAAGATTTTTCTAAATTGAAGTGAAAATGTAAAAGATGCAATTTATTATCATCTAAAACTCTGTCTGAAGCAGCAGCCTGTTTCATTATTAATCATTAATAGAAAAAGAATCAGATTAAAAACAATACTTGTTTACTTGGTTCTGACAGGCAGCCCACAAACAGAATATTACTGAAGGGAACGTGGGAAATTTTGACATAGAACACAGAATTAACACGATTCAACCGATTTTCAAGAAATGTAATATTCACCACTATACGGAACAGTACTGGAAACATGTTCACTTCTTACAAGACATTGAAACGGCTGAACCCGATTCTACCACCTGAATGCCGGCAATCAATTTGAAAGGTACATGTTTTCATGGCTGAATGAAGTCAAAGCCAAAGAAGTCCTCGCCTGACATCAAACACACATAAGCCCACCAAGACTGGGAGAAAACCCTTCAAGCTTCCTGAAACCAGGTATGGCTAAACTGCACCCACCCATTCAACAAAGCAAAACACAAAAACACGCCCCCCCCCATTTTTCAGGACACTTACATTTTGTGGCTCAGAGATATGGTAGTAGGGGTAGTCACTGCTCAGCGGGGGCTGGCCGGCTACAGGCAGCTGTGCAGAAGAAGGCGGGTTGTGGGCAAAGGCCATCAGATGGTTGCTCTTCTGGAAGCCAGCGGCTGCTGAGGAGTGACAGGCTTTGGAGGACTCCTGCAGGTAGCCCTCCTGCTCAACCTTTCGGCGCATGGTGGAATTCCAGTGGTTCTTGATAGCGTTATCAGTTCTGCAACAGAAAGACACACGTTTGAGGAGTTTTAAAAAAGAGCGTTTCCGATTCAGAGAGGTCAATAGGCAGGAAACTGCTGCTGGCATTTCTGCCCAAACCTTGGGCTGTTCTCTGACCTTCCTCCTGTGCTCCCACCTTTACAAATGCTACTCTCTACTTCTCAGGAAACATGCTCAGTATAAAAGATAAGGGAAAAGACAAATGGGCTACAGTTGTTTATGCACATTTTAAAGAAATCTCTAAGCCTTAGGTCCTCAAACTGTAAGAAATTAATAACTTCAGCTTCTCCTCATTCCCATGAGGTGAGGTGACAGCAAAGGCTAACCCCCTTTGAGGCTACCTTCAAGGAGTGCCAACGTCATCTTCCTAAATCTTAATATTACAGTGGAGTTTTATTGCAACTCATTGCTGTGGAAAGAAAGACTGTGAAGAACAGCTGTCAAAAGACTAACTTCCAAGCAACCCTCCAACTGGCCACCTAGACAATAACAACATCACGCTATGCACACAAATTCAGCGAACAAAGCTGTTGGGATTTTTCTTGGCTGCAGAAAAACTGAGATTCAAATTCTCATGTTCACTGACTCAGAAAAAGGAAACTTATCAAGTCTGTGAGATTTTGCTAGTATGCTTAGAAACAGCTCCTCTATTTGAAAAACATCACCACCACACAGTATCGTTGGAAGTGGTTATCTGTGATGTGTGGAAGCTACAAAAAACCCTTCCAAGGGGCAATTCCCTGCTTGCTTTCTTCTAGAAGGTGACAGCAGCCTAGGGAATGCCTACTTAAAAGGCTATCATGATCTTAGGCATTATATTTAGGTCTTGAAGATGTTCCACCAAATAGCAGGAATAAAAATGGGAAGGGAAACCTCTCCCTTGTTTACATTATTTGCTTGACTACACTTTATGTTGAGTCACTTTTACTACAGAGCAAATATGACACTGAATCGCTGAAATTATCTGCAAGCTGTGCATAAGCTTTCAAAATGAGACAAGTATTTCCAGGACCAGAGTTTGAGGAAGTCAGTTTCTCCTGGTTTATACATGGATTTTCAACAGGTCAAAATCATCTGGATGATTCAGGAGCAATTACAAATGTTGAAGCAGCCTTCTCGTCAATCATTTTGAACAAACAGAGTGGATTTCATGTTGAAGGTATGCCCTTAGCCGAATGTAAATTACGTTCCACTTGCAGAGCCTGATCCTTCCCTATTAAATCAATTTAAATTTTGACAGTTATTGCAAGCACAAGTAAGTCTGCACAGACATTTAGGAAACTGTTACGGTCTCGCTCTAGTTACTGGGGTTTTTTACCTACGGTAAACATTAAAAGCACATAAAAATAGCGCACTGTTCCATGTACTGACCAACCAGCACAGTTCCCCACTGAGAAAAATGCACATCGATGTCACTGGCTTTCCAGGTTTTGATCCCCAAATTTTTGTACTTATAAAGTGCAGCCTGAGGCAACCGAAACGGACTGCTCAGACCTGCAGTTTTTTCCTTTTTTCCTATTTAAGAGCTAAAGGTATATGTCATTACCGTCCAGGCAGCAACTTTGCAATTTCTGCCCATCTGTTTCCCAGTCTCTTGTGTGCCTGGTAAATAATTCTATCTTCCTCTTCTGTCCAGGAGGTTTTCTTCACTTCTGGATTCAAATGGTTGTGCCACCTCTCCCTGCACTGTTTTCCAATCCTTCCCTTCAAATGCTTAGCAATGACAGACCAGCGCTTTGGACCGTATTTCTGCACGAGTTCTATTACCTTCAAAGAAGGACATAAAAACTGCCTGTATTTAACGATGCATAATGAATCAATGAAATTTTTCTGTGGTGGAGCAATATTTTCAACAACATTTCTCAAAATTGCCACGGTAAAACTGACACACAATTAAGGTTCCCCACTTCCCATTTATGCTTTTACCCAAAAGGAAAAATCTGGTAATAGTTAAGGCATTTCTAGACTGCAATTCTACATTACAGTGCTGTAAAGCAACGTTAATTAACTTGCGTAGAAAACTTAGACAGCACTACACAAATACCAAGCCTTGGTACTGATAGGCTCAGTCTGCCTCCGGCCCTATTAGTGTTGAGACCACCGAAGTCTCTGGGAGTTTTGCCCCAACACATGAAATCCGCTAGTAAGGCATTAATCAGACGGAAAGGAAAACTGATTACCCTTTGATCCTCCTCTTTAGTCCACGGACCTTTAATAAGTTCTGGGTTTAGTACCTTCTGCCATCGGTGCTGGCACTGAACATCTGTCCGATTCTAGTGAAATGCAAAATATGCAAAGCAGATCATTCTTTAGACAAGATGAATGTAGAGTGATAACGCTCTTATCTAGGCACGCTTGTTCCCGATGTATTTCAGCTACGACTACTAAACAATACGGAGTGATACAGTAGGCCTGAGAAGAAGGTGCTCAACTACCACTTTGCTCACTGAACTAGGTAATATTCCCATCGCTCCCGCAGTGATGGCTGTCTCGCCAAACCTACACAAACTGAATCTTCACTGTCTGGCACAATAGCTGTCATGCTTCCACAGGCAGTATTTCTACAACAGCCAAAGTGTTCACAAAACAATCGTCTTCTAAACCACACTCACAATTCATCAAAGCTATTTTCTCTCTGTGCTGAGACATTCTGTTTCAGCGTCACATTGACCATCTACTGTGCAACACCCCTCCAACCCCCATTTTTGCTTGATTTTTTCCAACCCTTTCTGAGAAATGAAAAGAAAATAAAGGTAAGGGTTTCCACAAAATTCTAACTAAATTTCTGAGGCCTCCATCTGTTTTATATCTCCTGCAAAAATGTAACTATAAAGCAACCACTCCCCTTTCCCTTACTTGGAAACCTCTGATAAAGAGTTGTCACTAGAACTGGAAACAGAAACCAATATCCACCTACAGGAAGGAAATTGGCAATGACTTTCCAGTCTTCTGTGCCATTCTGCTCCACAAGCTTCTTCAGTTTCTCATCCTGAATCATTAAAAAAACCAAACATAATCAATATTGCAAATTCTTGTAATACAAACAAAATACATTTTAAAAAAAATCGCCTCCTCCTAGCTTTTTATGCATCTATTTCTGCATCTTGAGTGTGTGTGTGGGGGGGTGGTCTGTAGTCTTCACGTATTTTTAATTGCCTAAATCAGGAGATTTTTCTACTCCTGTGGATTTTGGTAGCTTCTTTATTGTGCTACAGGAGAAAGACTGACTTTTCCTGTGCTGTTCTTTGACTCACATTATACATTCCCATTTTACTGCTCAAAGCAATGTAGCTGTTACTCTTGCACTGGATTTACAGGAGGGCATGGATGTTTAGATGCCAGGCATCAGAATTAACAATGACATTCAGCAACACTCGGGCACCCAGCTGTTAGGGGACCTCTGAAAATCACAGCCTTAAGCTTTCTATGTCTTGCAAGTAATGGGAGTTCCAGTAATTTGCTCATTGCCTATCCATGTACAGTGAATGCACAATAAAACTAATGGCTCCTTTTTGCTCCTGATCACTGCGAGGAAGTTTTGCGTACTCACAATTGCAAGAAATTTGGCCCGGTATTTTTAATGATAAGGCCAGAAATACAGACCCTAAAGACAAAAGAAACGAATCTCATGTACTGGGAAAGAACGAGAGAGTGTAAGACAAGCGAGTACTGCCCCAAGAGATAAGAGGAGGGAGGGCAACCCTCCCCTTCCCCGATTAGTGCCTTCCAGTATGCTCCCAGTTCAGGGAAGTGGCCATTGGGCTCCATGGCCATCCCTTCCTCCCAGGCCACATCACGAACACATCCGCCTCCGTAAGAGCTGACTATGATTTAAAAAAAATAAAAAATGCTTGCAGGAGGTGACCTGCCACTGTTTATATATCAATATACATTGTTAGAGAGGAGAAAGTCAAAACATAGCTTAAGAACTGTATTAATGTATTTCGCAATAAACTCAAACCAGTTAAATGGCCACAGGATATCCACCTGGCAAAGGAGTTTGATACCACAATTTACCCGGAAAGTCAGCACAAGGGTACCGCGACTGAAACTCATTCTGACCTTGAAAAACAAAATACATCTTGAATGCTGGACTTTGGTACTGCTGGATTTCTTTCTTCCAGTTTTTAATTTATTTCCACTCAGAGCCATAATGCTGCAATTAAAGTGCAAATTGCAAATGGCACAAGAAGGACCGCAGCAGTTTCCGCCACAGTTGTTTGCTGCTGTGGGACACTGAACACACATCAGTTCTCGCATAGCAACCATTTTCAAACAAAAAGAGGCAGCAGTAACAACCAAGCATTGCTGCAGGTGACTCTTAATCTCTTTCTCCAACAGGGATTACAGGGAGACTCACATACCTGTAGTGTGGACCTTGGTGGCCATTCAAAAAAATGGTGTGAATACATTTTATTTAAAAGAGAAAAACGATCCTCAAAGTTAAATAAAACAGTGAATGTAGCTGAAGGGCCAAAAACTTTGTCCTCATTCATGTACATGGGACTTTTACTCAAGTTAGTTTCCAGATAAGCAACTCGGAGAAGAACGTGATCCATGCTCTCTCTGTCTTTTTACATGCTGGAGATGAATGAACTTGGATTTACCTCTTCGCGGGTCCACCTGGTTTTTCCCAAGTGACGTTTTCCAGTCTTAGGAAGCAGACCATCATAATCGTGATCATACATCTCAACATCTTCTTCGTCGTCATCGCTACTGTATATACTGCAGAAGGAAACATGGGGAGACACAGAGTGGAACATGAGGACTTGTGTTACTTAACTACAAAGCACAAAAACCCCACTACAATCCTTACAAAGGTTACACAGATAAAAGTTTTAAAACTTGCACAACAAGATTTTGTTCTGCATTCTGTTGTTCTAGTATTCTGAACTGGTTCTGCTGTTTTTGGTATCCACAGATACAAGCAAAGGGCTGGCAACCTTCGTATTACTGTGCATGTTTAGACCTGCTCTTACTGTTAGATCAGTGGTGAATTACACATTTGGCAAACTTTCAACCAATGAAGGTTTCAAATTAAAATACAATGTTTGGGACAATAAAGAGAACTAGAGGCTGTGTCCATTACACAAGTGCACATTCAAAATCTTTAACTCGTGCCGTACATTCTGAAAAATATTAGCGTTTTCGTATGCTTAATAGAGCAGAGAGTTATACCATTCCCAAGTAAAACAAGACTGCGTATAAATAGAAAAGGCTAACCCCTAATAACCCTGCTTGAGAATACAGTTATGGACCCTATATGTGAAGGCAAAACTCTCTATACTTAAAAGCAAAGCCAGTAAGTGGTAGCATTAACGGTCTAATATAAAACGTGCCTGCCATTTATGGGTCTGGATGGACAAGAGCTGAGGACACGTGTATTTAATACCCTGCAACCAACAAAAGAGTGACTGAACCCTTTTATGCTCTCCATTTCTCTAACTTAAGGCATTATTACCTCTACTCCATTTCTAAATACCTCACACTGTTTTTGAAATACTCTGCTACTCACCTAGTTCATGACTAAGGGATTTCCCCAGAGGCTATCTATGGGTAAAAAGGACTCTATTACTCTTTTCACAAACAGCACTTGCTCTACCCAGTTAACTAAAACTACAAGCGGGTGTTTTGCAACAAGAGCTGCCTTTCTGGTGGGCAGTATTTTATTTTCAGCTTCTAAGATACGGGCAGCAGTTCTGACACTTCAGCTAAGAGATGATAGCCACAAGTGCTAGAAAGGAGACAACGTCACGCTACGAGACTAAAAACTGCGATCTATCTGATGGCACGGTATGCTGTGGTATGTTAAGGTATGACTAAGACATTAAAATAAAGTTATTTTGTAATAAAATTATCAGGCGTGGTTTATCCCGTTAACCTGCTTTCAGGAGATCACTTTGTAAAGCAAGCTGCAGTGAAGCACAGAGACTGTTAGTCAAGATGCAACCACCTCTGAAGCGCAAAGCTGTTAGACGTAACATTCTTTTAAAGGACGCTGGGCTAATCACGCCTCACATCTTCAACCCTGTTTTCTGGCCTGTGGCATGTGCCACGAAAACTATGCTACACAGAGGAAGTTTTCCACAGCCTGCCGTGATGCGTGTGGCCTTCCCCGAGCCTCTGGCCGGGTGGCCCCGGACTCACCCACCCTGCCCATCACTGCCACCCTCCCCTCGCCCCCACAGCGCCCTCCCCCTCCGCCCCGCCGGGCCCCGCGGTTCGCTCCCTATTCCCCATCCCACCGAACCATTTGGGGGAAGCTCCCACTGACGGAAGCTCCCGCTCTGCACGCCAAGGCGAGCGCGCGCCCCTCGTTGGCGGCTGGAGCCTCCCGGGCTTCAGGGGGGCCGCACGCTTGGGCGAAGCTCACACGCTCCAGCTGCCAGCCAGGCGGCTCCTTCCCCTGCCGCCGCTCGACGTAGATTCACTTTTCTCAGTGACACGCAGAGACAGCTGTGCGACTGCCCATACGCCGAAAGGAAGCTCTGTGGCTCCATTTCCAAGTATCATTTTGAAAATGAGTTTCGTAGACAGTAAAAGGACGGGGTGCCCATCCATCACCGACGCTCCCCGCGCGGTGACGCGTTTCAGGTGCAGCAGAGGAACGCCGCTCCGCAACGGCAGCCGAACACCGGCGGCGGGCAGGTTAAAACGATTTACGTGCGGTGCCGGTAATGTAACCGGTTTATTTAAATAACCGG